GGGGGGGAGGTGGCAGCAGGGAGAGCAGGGTTCCCCTTCTGCTCAACCCCATAGGGAGGAACAAGCCTCATTTCCCCATAGGTGGTTACCACTTCCTGCTGCCGGAAGAGACTCTTCTGCCTCCTTTCCCCCGCAGCTTGCACCTGCCCTGTCCTAGGCCTGGGGGGCTGGGGCAGCCTTTCTCCTGCCCCCTCAGAGCAAGGCCTTAGCAAGCCTGGAGGCAAGTCTTGGGGCCTCCCTTATCCAGGGGTGCTGGAAATTCCCTCTACTCCTCTCTACCAACTCAAAGCCACAGGGCAACAGCCTTGCTCCAATAAATTGGGAAGGCAGGATGCAGGTGGCAGGTCACAAGCCAGACTAGACAACTGTCTTCAGTTGGGTGGGAGGAAAATCTCTATGGTATATATAGCAGGAGAGGGGTGAGGCAGTTAGGCTCCAGGCTTGCACCCATGGAGGCAGGCCTGTAAGCACTAGTGCAAAGGGGCCAGGCATGTGTGTGCATGGATGTCAAAGTCAGGCTCTGTGCAAATGTGGGCACACGTGACCTCGACCTGTAGCTCTGGGAGGGAGGGGAGGCTATGCAGGTACTTCCTGCCTTTCAACTGTGATCAATTCTCTCGCCCAGAAGGGGAAAACACCTCCTCGGTTTCCCCCACCCCCGTACCAAGGCCCAAGGCTCTTCCCTAAGATGCCATGTGTCCACAGGGCCTGGGACTGGAAGGCCTGGGAGCTGGCCAAACCCCACAGGCCCAGGACCTGGACTTCCTGTAGCTGGTCTCAGCAGTACACCGTTCAAGTCCTCCAGCAAGGTGGGCGAGCCTCCTGCCCCTTCCCACAGCGCACACACAGGCGCACCTTCCCCAGAACGTGCTCCCATGTCAGGAACCCATCCCCCTCATCAGCTAACTCCAACACACCTTGCCCCCATCCTCTATCTGAGCCTGACTGGTCCCCAAAAGTCCCTTACCCATCCAGCAGAGCCAGGCCCAGGCTCAAGCCCACAGAAAACTGCTGCTGAACTGGCCTCAGCCCCTTTCAGATGCTCTGCTCCATCCTTTTCTGACTCCAGAAATACCCACGTGATACCCCATTCAGCCACTGCTTTAAAGCCTCGAGTAATTAGCCCTGGCTTGTAGGATGCTTGTCTGTCATTTAAGGCCCTGCTGCTTGCTCTATCCTCAGCTCCATTGTTCCCCTTCAAAGAATCCAAAAGCCCATTATCCAGCTGAAGGTGAGGACCAGATCTGTGAGACCTTACTAAATCTGTTGATGACTGGAGTGTACACTTGGTCCTGAGGGGGGTGACCGCAGGGCTGATGTAGTCAGCTCTGCTGCATGGAGGATAGACCAGAGGGACATGAGATCAATGGGGAGGCTGTTACAGCCGTCCGCGTCAGAGCGAGAATAAATGAGAGCATGAATTGGGCAAACGGTCTCACATGAAGGCGCTGTGAGGCCCCTTCTATTTTCCTACAAGTCAGCTTTCCAGAAAAATTTTAACAATGGGGGTTTCAGGGGTCAGGGTTATGCACCTCTGTGTATAGGTTCATACCCTGGGGAGATGTCCCCGGAGCCCACTTCCAGCCACAGGGCGAGGGGGGCAGGGGGGCCTGCTTTCCTACTCTCAGCCTTCCAGCCTTGGCTCGGCTCGATGGCAGAGAAGCGGCCCCTCCCAGAGGCGCGTGCTGCAGGGGCGGGGGAAGTGCTGGGCCCCAAAGGCCAGTCGGGCCTGTGGCTTCCCCTCTCTCCGCCCGTGTCACCCCCGCCGCAGCTCCCACCTCCGCCCAGGAAACCCAACCACCTGGGGGCGGCCGAGCTTCAACCAGCCCGACAGGGACGCAGGGCACGGAGAGCAGAGGGCGGGGCAGGTCCCTGTGAGCCAAGCGTGGGGAGACGGAGGCCGCCGCACGGCGCCGCGGGAGCTTCTGCAGGCTACCCCCCACCAGAGCTGGGGGGCGGCGGAGGCAGTGCGCATGCTCGCCCACCCCGCGCACAAAGTCCAGCCCCCTCGCCGCCAGACCAATCAGAGCCTGGGAACGAAGCCCGCCGCGGCTTGTGAAAGGGAAGGGACTGACGCCAGGCGCAGAGGGCGGGGTGGGGCTCCGCCTCCGAGCCCTACGGCGGAGCCTGGGAATTGAGCCAATCAGAACAAAGCCTCGCGAGCCGGCGAGCAGGCAGGCGTGCGCAGGCGCGTCTTTCCGACCCCGGCCTCGGTTAGCTCCCACAGCTGCTTGTGAGTCACGTGACAGGCGCCAGCCAAAGAGAACCCAGGCCCCGGTGGCGAATTATTCAGCCTAGCGGGGGAGCAGCGTGACATCTGCATTAGCAGGGGCCTAAGATACAGTGACAGCTCGGAGTGCTGAGCTCCGCTGGGAGGTTGGCGGCCTAGGCAGAGCCCACCCAGGGACTAGGAGCAGCAAGTGATGGCGCTGGAGCCACCAAGGGAAGAGCAGCTACTAAAGGCACAGGAGCAAATTTTAGGTTTAGAGTAAAGCCATGACAAACGGAGGGCTTATATTCTGCATGAAATGACAGGAGCATTTGTCCAAAGCCATAGAATGTAATACAAACCCTGAACTAGAGTTAACAATGTGTCAATAATGGCTCATCAATTATAACATGCAACACAATGCAAAATGTTAATAATATTGGAAACTGTGAGTGGGGAGAGGGAGTACATGCAAACTCTGTACTATCTGCTCAGTTCTGTAAATCTAAAACTGTACTAAAAATAAAGTCTATTAGTTATTTTCAAATGAAGGCTTAGGGTTAAGGAGTATATTCAAGGGGTATTATGGTGGTTGAACACACGACTTGCTGACCTTTTGGATGGTAGGGGAGGGAGGAATCAATAACAGTTGGCAGGGCTTGAGCAACTGGGTAGCTGGTTGGGCCATTACCCAGACAGGACATCAGTCATAAGTCCAGTGAGCAGCTGGACTTACACATCTGGAGCCCATCAAGGCAGTGGCAGAGCAGGCCTCAGAAGGCAGAGCATCTGCCTCTGTGATGGGGATGGCTCCCAGAACTCCAGGGCCTCCCTCCCCAGGGCCCAAAGATGCTGAAAGCCATCAGACTTGGGAGCCCCACCTCCAAAGCCCTGACAAAGCACTGCCTTTCTACTGGGGCTTGGCAGGATGTGCTGTGCCAAAAGGCTGTGAGGTCCCCATCCATGGGGACACAAAGGGACCAGAGAGAGGCACACCCCCTGAATGTGCACACTTGCACACACAAACTCCCCAAGGCCGCTGGGTGAAGTTTATTGTGAAACCTCACAGGGCGAGGATGGGATGTGCAGGCCAGGGCGGGGCGAGGAGCACATGCGGGCTCTAGGAGGCCGAGTCAGAGGCCTCGGAGCTGTCCTTGACATCGGTGCTCTCTGTGGTCTCGCTGACCTCGCTGAGGTCCTTGCTGTCACCACCACTATCCTCAGCAGCCAGGCCCTTCTCCTCACGACAGGCCTCTCCTGAGCTTGGAAGTGAGTTGCCCTTGCTCTCCACCTTGTTCTCGATGGAGCCCAGCACCATGTGCCTGCCCTTCTCCTTCAGCTCCAGGTGCCGCCTCAGCTGCCACCAGGAGCCCAGAGAGAAGTGAGAGAAAAGAGACAGGGCCTAAGGATCCAGACCACATGTAGGCCCTCTCCAGCTGCCCCAGGCGGGGTGAGGGGAGCCTGCGCTTGTCACTTGCTGGGGGCAGGGCAGGAAACACAGGACTGAATTGGGAGAGCAGGGTTGAGTCCTGGCTCTGCCCTCTCTGGGCCTCAGTTTCCTCTCCTGTGAAGTGAGGGTGCTCATGCCTCCCTCACACGGGCTGCTGGGAAGCCCTTTGAATGGCTCTGGCCCCCAAGGAGCCTTGGGCAGGACCTTGACTTTCTCCTCAGCCCAGTTTCGTCTCACCCCTTAGCCTTGGGGCAGGCCAAGGCTGTCCCCGGACCCCCAGGTCCTTGGGCCCCAGCTCTCAGCACACAGAGGGGCCTCTGGGCGGTATAGGCTTCTTCCTCAGAGAAGGAATCTGGGGCCGATGGCCTCCTTTAAAGCCCTGCCAAGGCCCAGCTCCCCCCAACAGCTGAGGAAACTGAGGGGAAGAGGGCCATGACTCCCTACCATCTCAGGGCCCCGAGCTGCACCTCCCCTCCAACAGGGCCTTGCTTGTCCTCATCTGCGGGGACTGCAGCCCCGGCCCCACCGGACTCTTACCTCGTCGGCCATCTGGGTGAGATCCCGCTTCATCGCATATGCGTCCTCCCCATCTGCGTAGTATTTGGGCTCCACTTCGCTGATCCTAGGGGCAGGGGGTGGAGAGGAGGACCCAAATCAGGGGGCAAATTCTCCTCGGCCTTCTGGCCTCAGATGCTTCTGGTGCAGGGTGTCATTTCTCCCCAAAGGACCCTTTCGGAGGCAGCAAGCCCCGTCACCAGTGGGCCCTTCCCCTGCTCTCTCCAGCAGTAAGTAGTATCCAGTGCTTTTCCCCCAGGGCCTGCCACCATCCTGCGTCTGTAACCTGGCTACTGAGGATCTGTTTCTGTAGTTTCTTCTGAGCTGAAGCCTTGCATTTAGCCATCCCCTTCCGTCCCTGCCTTGCTCCCTGTCACTTACTGAGCATGCGTGGCCAGTTCCTATGCCTCGGAAGTGGGGGGGGTGTCACGGCCTGTTACCGGCAGTCATTGCCAGGCAGCGTGGCCCTGGGCCTGAGCAGCTCTGGGGCCAAGCCTGCACTGGGAGGTCTGCATGCAGACTCGGGTGCTCTGCCACTGGGAAGGCCCTGCCAGCCTTAAAACCCCAGAACTGTTGACCACCAGAAGTAGCTGCATCCAGGTCAAAGATCCCTTCTCAAATGCCCAGCCCAGAGGGCCAGTGCCCTTCCCAACAGTCCTGTCTCATCTCCCACCAACCCGAGTGCCATGCAGTCTCAGTGGGCCCTCTAGGGGTAGCCCACTCCAGCGTCACTTTCAAGCAGCTTTCGGCACCAGGTATTGGGTGTGCCAATTCCCTGCCCGGCTCTCTCTGTCCTGTGTTGGGCAGACAGAGATCCCACATCCCTGAGCAGACATGCCCTCATCTGCTGGGACGCCCAGGGCTCTAGATTCCTCTGCTGCTCTTGCCCACGGCCCTTCCTGCCTGGATGTGCACAGGGTTCTGTAGCACCACATTCTCCTTTCTTCTGGTCCCACATAGATGCTTCTAGGTGCCTGGTCACTTTGAGTCCTGCTCCTCAGCTTCTGCTCACGTCCCAGGCCCTCAGCCCTACTCCTGCACCTTCCCTGAGAAGCCTGTGTGCTCTTGACCACACTGCCCTTCACCCAGCCCCAGCCGGCATGCAGTGACTGCTGCTCCACCCAGCCAGACACGCCAAACATCCTCCTGTACCACAGCATGCCGCGGGCAGACTGCAGCAGGCCGGTGCCGGCGCCCCTGAGTGCAGGAGGCATCCTGGCAACACATGGGGTCCATGGCCTGCTCCCCGTCTCAGCTGACTCCGGCTCTTTCCCCCAGCTGCCCCCACCCCCCTGCCTGGAAGGCAGCTCAGCCCATCTCAGCCACCTGGATAAGCCAGACCTAGGACCACCCCACTCCATTAGAAAAATCTAGATCTACTTACTGAAAGTTGAGGGTGTTGGAATAGAGGTGCAGGGCGGCCCGGTTACTGCAGGGGAATAAGGTACTGCTGAGCTGCACAGACTTGGCCAGGCAGGGACAACACGACCAGGTCCTGCCCCTCTTCCTGCCCACCCCCCCCCAACTAATCCCATTTCCCGATCTTCTCCAAAAGCCAGGACCCACATCAAGACAGTATCCCACACACACACTCCCCTTCCCTCGGCCCCGGCTTCCACCTCTTCCTGACATGCAGGGAGACGTATTTGGCATTGAAGTTCTCGATCATGGCTCGGGAGGCCTGGTCCATCAGCTTCTGAGCCAGGCCGAGGCGCCGGTGGGAACGCTTCACAGCCTGGTGGGAGAAGGGTGGGACCTCGAGGGCTGCCCCAACTAACCCATACTTCTGCCCCCGCCAGAGCCTGGGTGGGCCCTACGCACCAGTGAGGTGATATGTCCGTGGGGCACGTCATCCGGGTCCTCTTCCCTAGAACCAGAAGAAAGGAGAGAGGCTAGAAAGGAGCCTGGTGCAGATGCAGCCACCCCGCCAGCACGTGCGGACAGGAGTGCAGACTCCTCTGGCTGGCCCCAAAGTCCCCCCAGACCCAGGGTGGGGGAGAGCTGGGACTCTGAAAACTCCACACAGCAGCCAGAAGACATGTGCAGTGTCAATGGAATACAGTGATAAATACAGCGATAAAAAGATGAGCTATAAAAAGACATGGAGGGGGCTGGCCCGGTGGCGCAGGCGGTTAAGTGCGCGCGCTCTGCTGTGGCGGCCGGGGGTTTGCCGGTTCGGATCCTGGGTGCGCACCAACGCACTGCTTGGCAAGCTATGCTGTGGCAGCGTCCCATATAAAGTGGAGGAAGATGGGCACGGACGTTAGCCCAGGGCCAGTCTTTCTCAGCAAAGAAAAGAGGAGGATTGGCAGATATTAGCACAGGGCTGATCTCCTCACAAAATAAAAAAAATAAAAAAAAATAAAAGACATGGAGGAGACTTAAATGCATGACTAAGGAAAAGAAGGCAATTTGAGATGGCTACATACTGTATGAGTCCAATCATATGACATTCTGGAAAAGGCAAAACTATGGAGACAAGACAAAGATCAGCAGTTGCGGGGGTGGGGGGGCAGGAGGGAGGGGTAATAGGTGGAACACAGAGAGTGTTTAGCGCAGTGAAACTCCTCTGTATGATACTATAAGAGGGGATCTACGTCATCATACATTTGTCCAAATCCAGAGAAGGTACCACACAGAGAGTGAAACATAATGTAATCTAACTTTAATAATAATGTAGCAATATTGGTTCATCAATTATAACAAATGTGTCACAAGATGTTAATAATAGAGGAAACTGGGGGGGGAGGGGTTATATGGGAACTCTCTGTACTTTCCTCTCAATTTTCCTGTAAACCTAGAACTGAACTTAAAAAAATAGTCAATTAATTAAAAAAAAGAAACTCAGGCAGTCTCCACCAGACATGTGCAGTATTGGTGACCCCCCTCCAAAGTCCCCCCAGCTCCAGCACCAGGTTTCTCTCTCCTTCCTTGGTGACTCACATTTTGGCCAGGACGTACCCCACAATCTTCCCATTCTCATCCTCAGCAATGTAAGAGAGCTGGTGACAGGGAGGAGAAAGAAGTCAGAAAACAACTTCCTGTCAGAGCTGGAGGAGCCCTTAGCGGACACCTGGTCCCACCGACCTGGTTCCACCGACCGCCTCTGGCTGTGTGCATGACAGAGGCCAGTCAAGTGGCGAATTCAGTGACAGCTCCTGACATCCAGGCCAGGTGTCTTGGTTTCCCCACACCACACTGTGTCCCATGTCCTTAGCCCGGAAGAGGAGGACAGACACAGGTGGGAGTCTTGCCCCCTTCAGGCACCTCCTTTCCATCTGCCCCACTTCCAGCTGAAAACACCTGGGGCCTCACTAACCCACATACCCCAGGGCTCTTTCCACCCTTGCCCACTTCTCCCAAGCCCATCCAGGTTGGATTTTCCACGGCCTGGTTTCCCCCATCTCCAAATTCAAAAGCGGCCCACCTGGGGCCAGGACAGGCCGTGGTAGAAGTAGTATTTCATCTGGTAGTTCTCGGGTAGGCACAGAAGGTTGCAGTGCTGCATGTTCATCAGGTCCTCTGGCTGTGAGGGACGAGGGCAGTGGAATGCGGTCAGGCCAGGGGCTGCGCTAAGAAGGCCTCAGTCGTGCTAGCACCCTGCTCCCTGGCTGTCTACTCCCCGACACCCCCCTTCCCCCGCTGGGCTGGGCCGGCACTGTGACAATCTGCCTTGCACAGGCCTGGCCCATAGCCGCTACGCCAAAATCGCCTGCTCCAGGAATGATCGGCAGCGCCGGGAGGCTCCCGGACACCATCCACCTGAGCCGACATCCCGCACCGAAGGGGTCTGCAGCCCCGGCCCAGCGCCTCCGGCTCCCCTGGCCTCCTCTTCGGGGAGGTCCAGCCCCACGGGCACGGTGGCCTTCACCTTCCCGCGCCCGGCCCGGGGCTCGGCTGGGCCCCTCGGGAGCATGCGCACGCGGCCACCGGTCCCCGCTCCCACGCGGCGCGGACAGCCTCCCACCCCGGCCCCTAACCCTCGCATTGCGGATATTCATAACGGCGGCGGGGCTCGCGGCTCCCAGCGGGGCGTGAACGCGCAGTCAGCTGCCGCCGCGCTCCGAAGTGACGCCTGGGCCGCCGGGCCGGGGTCGGGGCTGGGGCTGGGGCTGGAGCTGGGTCCGGGCTCGCGGGAGCGACAGCGGAAGGGGCGGTGCGCGCCAGGCCCGGCCACCGGCCGGAAGCGCGCGCCACCCAACCCGCCCTCCCGGCCGCTCGGCCAATGCGCGGGGCGGGCCAGTGCCGGGGCGGGGACTGTCTGCGGGCCGGGGCGGGGCGGGCCTGTCGGCGGAGTGGGATGGTACAGCGTGCGGGGCGGGCCGCTGTCCCGGGGAGCAGGTGCCCTGCGGCCAGCGCGGGGCTGTCCCCCTCCCTCGACCCCACAGACGCGCGCACACGGGCAGTGGAGTCGGCTCAGCTTTATTCCGCGCCTTTGCGGTCGGGGACAGCGGGCGGGGACGGGGCGCCGGGGGCCGGGGCTGAGGCAAGGCGGCTCAGCAGGGCGCCCAGCATCTCCTCGCACATGGCGAGGCATCGTGGCACGTGGAAGCAGCCTGCGGGGAGAGGCGTGAGGTTGGGTTGGGAGGCCCGGTGGCAACCGAGTGCCCCGAGACCTTGCGGCCCCGCCCTGACCCCCACTCACCTTTGAAAGGACCCCCCTTGATGGTGAGGGCGACCTTCCCCTCACGGCTCAGATAGCCAAACCATTCCCCGAACTCGGGATCACGAAACTGGAATAACAATGAGATAGTGACAGCCAGCGCCTGCAGGAGCCGCCCAGATGCCACAGACCTGGGGAAGGGGTGCTCACTGTCCATACTGCACCACTTCCCGGGGTCAGAACCCAGGGCTGACCGCAGGTAACGTGGCTCCAGATTCAGTGCTCTTAAACGTGATAATGTGTCCTGGACAAAGACGAGAGCACAGAGGGGTGGGAGTCTGCACCTAGATAACCCACTGAGGGAAGGGGCCATAGGCTATAAGATGAAACACTGCAAGATGGAATAAAAAGAACCCTGCTTGGGGATGATAGAAACGTTCCGTTTCTTGAATGTTTAACTCAGAGAACAGAACACTTAAGATGGATACATTTTAGTGTATATAAATTGTACTTCAATAATTGATTTAAAGAAAGAAACAAAGAGAACCCTGATGGAGGTGCTGACCTGTCAAAATGTAACTTTGTAACAAGTTATTCCCTTGGAGCCCCTGTTCCCTGCTTCCCAGGCCTGTCTTCCAGGAGATGAGATTGTGGACATCCGGCACCAAGATCTGACTCCTGCCTTGCTTGCTGCAGGTCCCAAACACATCTCCTCCTCCCTTGGAGCCACCTAAAGCCTGCCCCAGCCCAGCAGCTGTTGACCCATTCCACATTCCTTCCGTCTCTCCTGCCCGCATCCCATCGAGCACCTGTCCCCTGGAGGCTTGTCAGTTCCTTCCAGATGCCCCAGGATGGACCTCAGAGCCCTGGCTTAGGCCCCTCTCTCTCTTCCCCCAAAAGAGACTTCAGTGGAGCCCCTTCTCACAAGGATTATAGAGGAAATCAATGACATTGAAGTCCACTATTAAAATGTCTTTTTAAATTGGGGCCTATGAGTTGGTGTATTCTTCTCAGGAGGTAAAACCAGTTCTGTATCTATTCATTCTGTCTGTCTAGTGACATTGTTTGTGTCTTTACTTACTTTTCGACTGCTTGATCTCACATAGGAAGATAATGAAGAATTTAACTGTTTTCCTGTTCAGTTTTTCCATGGATGTCTGAATTTTTGCTTTTTGTATTGTTATGTTGGTTAGTGCATAATTATTTACCTGTTGATTATAACTTTTGTAATTGCTCAATGCCATCTCCATCTCTTTAATATGTATTCCTGAAATTTCACTTTATGCAGTTAAAACTCGTGGCCTCTAACACATGTTCTTTATGAATGCATTCAATGTTAAGATATAGCCTCGGGTCTCACGACTCCTGTATTGGGAAGTAGTGATAAGCATGTGCAATACTTGGAGATGCCTCTCATAGCTGCAATGTAATAGGAACACATTTGGGATTTCTATTGGTGACAAAGTTGAGCACTGCTAACACCACTGTAGTTCACTGCCTCCATTCATAATGAAAGCAAATGCTGGATTTCAGTTAGAGGTTAGTGCAAACAAAGATGTAATGTCCTCTTAGGTTTCGAAGCCCACAGATCCCAGAATAAGACCCCCTGCTAGAGTCCCTCCCATACCGGGGTTTACCCGTGGAGTGAGTTGTGGCTTTACAACACATCAGGGGTCTTCATTCATTCACCACCACGCTCAGAGCACTTTGGCCTCTGGGGACCCCTGGCTTCCTTCCTACCTCACAGCTGATTCTTGTCTTCTTTGCTGGGCCCTCCTACTTCCTCTCCTCTGCTCCTTCTGTCCTCCAAAGCTTACAGTACCATCTATGTTCTATGCCACTGGAACGATTCCACCTTTATGCCCTCCTCTCACCCCCCAGTGCCCTGACCTTGCTTTATTTTCCACAGCTCTCATCACCATCTATATGTTTGCTGGCTTACTTGTTTATAGTCTGTCCCCCACCCCCCACCACCGAAATGTGAGCTCCAGGGGGGCCAGGGGCTGCTTCATTGACTGAACAGAGGGCCGGCCTGCACCTCCAGGCACTCTCAGCTCAGTGGAGGGACCATGCCCAGTGAGGGGGGAGGAGGGGGTGTGGAATGAGCCTCCCTATCTGCACCCAGCCCACCCCCCCAGCCTAGGCCAGCCTGGGGAGGAAAGGCTGCCTGCTGTCTCCTCCACACCCCCATTGAGCCCAGAGATGGCTGTGGACCAGGAAGCAGCACCTACCTGGCGGAAGGTATACTCGGCCACCAGATAGAAGAGATGTAGCAAGGCTGGGTCCCCACTGTCACTGTAGCCCATGAGGAAGGCAATCATGGCTTCACTGTGCGGCCACCAGAGCTTCATGGCCCACTCCAGCTGAAAGCACAGCAGAGGCAGGGGTCTGGGGCCCTGAGCCCCACCCTCCACCGTCCCTTTCAGCAGGAAAGTCAGCCAGCCCCATCGTTCAGGTCCTGGGTCAGACTCCATCTGGCCTGAGCACTTGGAACTTAATCATGGGATGGACGTCCCTGGGAGTTTGAACGGCCCCTCAGAATGGGACTAGCTGCCTGACCCGGATGCTCCCTAAGTGGCCCCTTTCAAAAGGCAAGGGTGGGGCGGGCTCCCCTTTAGGCCTGGAATCGAAACACTGTCTTGTTAGTCTGTCTAAAGCCCCTTGGACACTCAGCTCCTGCCAGTGGTAGGGCCAGCCCCCCTCTACAGATTTCAGCAGGACCAACGCACAGAGGCAACGGACATAAAGAGAGCAAAGCCACTCCAGCCGCTGATGCCTCAGAGTCAGCCGGAGAGCCTTTCAAAGACCAAAGACACGTGTCTCCGCACCAGCCTTCCTATGCACATGAGGTCAAGGATCAGTGGCACAGAAGTCAAGAGCTGACCACTGGGGTCATACTGGGCAAGTTCACCGCTCCGAGCCCCAGGTTCCCCTCTATGAAACAGGTGATGACAGCACCCACCTCCCAGGACGGAAAGCCTTGAACAGGCTAGTACCACCTGGCCCTAGGCACATTCCCACCTGGGTGGGGCAAAGGCCATCGGCATCCTGGAAGTAGAAGAGGCCTCCGTGGTCAGGGTCCCATCCAGAGTGGAAAGGCAACAATAGGAACTTGTCGATAACGTGGGCTCGAAGTTCTGGGTCACCTTTCCGAGTGGCGTGACGGAGCAAGAACCAGCCAGCTTCCAGCGCGTGGCCTGGTGAGGGCTCAGAGTAAGGCAGGCAGCAGATCCTCCCTGGGGCAGGGGGGCCCAAGCCCCTGCACTGACCACAGTGCCTTCTTCCCTCCCTCACAGTGGAAACTGCTCTGAGCTCCCCTGCAGAAAGCTGGCCCTCCCAGTCTGTCCCAGACTTGCTCTCCTGCTGCTGATGCCCCCACCTCAAAGGCCTGTCCCTACTTCTCTGCCTGTGTGGAAGGTAGAGGGAGGAAGGCAGCCCACAACGGCTCCCCACATCAAAGCCCAGAACCCAAGGCTGAGCGCTCGCCTCCCCCTGGGTGGCCCTCAGCCCACCCTGCTCCTCACCTGGGTTCTGGTGTCTCCCCAGACAACCAGAAAGTTCCTTGCCATCCTCTGACACATTCTCCAGCACAGCCCGCCCATCCCTCTGCCAGAGGAGGAGCGGGAGAAGGTAATTCTGCCTTCAGCCCCCATCATCCAATCAGAAAGACTCTCCCTTCCTCCCTCCCTCCGTGATCTGCAGGCTTGGGCAGGCCTGGCTCAGAGAGGCATCTGAGGAGGGGCCGAGTCACTTCCAAGGGCCTGGATGGATTCTAACCCTTGCTTCGGGCCTGGGTCCCTGAGGTGGGAAGGGTGAAACATTGAATGGGGACTGAGATTGGGTGGGCTGGACTGCCCCTAGAGGCCTGGAAGGACTTGTGTCTGGCCGGGTTTCCTGCTCTCTGACATGCCTGGGCCTCTGGCACCCTCCCTCCTGCCCTCGGCCCCACCCAGCTCTCTGTGGTGGGGTGTGCATGGGCTCTCCTGGGGCCCTCCATCTTCCTGAGGGTCCTGGGCTGCGCCTCACCCCTGCTCAGCCTCCCCGTGTCTCCCCATCTGAAGGAGGCCATCAGGGCCCAGCTTGGGGGTGGGTGCGGGTAGAGGAGGTGCCACGGGGGTGGGGAGCGGGGGTTCCCCAGCTCCCAGGCCCCCTCTGGCAGCCGGCATCAGCCTCCCACCCCCACCTGGACATGCTGCAGGACCCTCTGGGCACACCAGTCCCCCAGCTCTGCGTAGTTGCCCGCCAGCTCTTCATCTGCCTCCCCGAGCTGCTCCACTAGGCTGAGCAGCATCATGGGCACCGCCATGGACTCCGAGGCTGGGGCCCCCGGGAGCTGGGGCCGGCCCAGACCCGACGGGTCCTCCCGCACCCAGTGCACAATCTGGTCCATCATCTCCACCGCTTCGCTCTGGGAGAGGAGGTGAGGGGAGGCCCGGGCTGAGGCTGTGTCCTGTCCAGTCTGGTCCCTCAGGTGCTGACTTGCAGTCCCCAGGACTCGGCTCTGGGGTGGGAGAACCGTGTCCTCCCACCCTCTCATAAGACCCCTTCACCAAGGGCTGGGTTGGGTGATGGGGGCCGGGGTGGATCTGCCCCACCTGCCTTGGGGGCTCCCAGTCTGGGGGTGCAGGCCACTCCCAGGCAGTGGGGTCAGGTCCAAAAGCACAGGCGGCCCCCGGGAGGAGGGAGAGGCCCCATCCTAGCCAAGGCAGGACATAGATTGGTCCCTCTGTGCCCAGGGCCTCTGTGGGAGTGTGTGGAGGAGAGTTCAGAGGTAAAGGAGACTTCTGGGAGGACACACCCATTGACACATGGTGACAATACAGCACAACGATGGGGGTGCTGCCAGAAGCCCTGGGGCTGTGGGGCCCAGTGGAAGGATTGCCACTGATAGAGCCAGCCTGCAGACAGGGCCCAGAGACTCACAGGGTGGTCTTCCTCACACGCACCTGGTAACGCACTTCCCCTGTCACCCGCCACAGCTCGTTCATGGCCATGGTGTAGAAACACTCGCTGAAGATGGTCCGCTGCACCTTGACAGGGCGGCCGTCCCTTGTCAGCACAAAGGCACACTTCTTCCCAGGAGGTGCCACCCGGGCATAACGCAGCAAAAATTCGCCACCTGGTGGTTGGGAAGTTGGCATGCTGGACCTTAGGTGAGGACACCCCCCCCCTTTCCTTCCTGCCTGTGAGCGTCCCCAGGCCCTTCGCTGCTTCTAGACCCCTCTAGGAACTAGGCACATGTGCGCTAACTTGGAGGGACCTCTGGGGAGGTGGGGGCAGGGAGAGGGCACCAGCTTTAGCTGAATCCAGAAGCTCAGGGTGGCGGAAGCGCTCAAGCTTGCGATACAGGCGACAGTACATCCACACCTGTGGGGGAGTGGAGGGAACATGCCTTTAACAGAGAGCAGCCAGGCCTCAGGGCTGGCATGAGGGGGAGTGAGTCCTAGGTGCTCCTGTTGTGGGAGGAAGAGTGTTGAGATGACCGGCCTTGTCGTGGGGGGGAGGGGCTTCCACCCCTGGGAGAGCTGCGAGCCTGGGCACATCCCCTACCTGCCTCGCCTGGAGCCAGACATACTTGAGATCGTCATACACTTGCCCATCGCGGCCCAGGCACGTGAAGAAGCCCCTGCGGGAGGTGCAGTATTAGCAAAGGGGAAGGGGCCTGCGCCTACCCATGGGCTCAGCAGGTCTGAGGGCCCTGGGAGGGGGAGGCGCACCCATGCTCCTGGTCATGGGAGTGCTCCATCCAGAAAGCCACCACTTGGTCCAGCTCCTGCCCCACTCGCTCCTTCCAGGCTTGCAGAGTCTCCCGCTCCTTCTCCATGTCCTGGGGGAACTCAGTACTTGGAGGCACAGATCCCCCACAAACTCCCCATCTTCCCGGGGCCCAGGCTCCTCAAAGGGCTCCTCTGTGCCCCAGGTCACCCCAGGCTTGAGTGGGCCCCAGGGCTACCTGACCCATCTCCCCTAGGCCTCCAGGCCTCAGGAGCCAGCCCTTGGGCTTCCCTCCACCCCTGTGCGGGGCTGCTCTCTGGCCCGGGACCGGCCCCAGGACTGACTCCACCGTCCCAGGGACCCTCCAAGACAGCACCCTCCCCCCAACGGGCCCCACCACTGGCCTGCCACATTCGGAGACCCCCGCTCATCCCTCCCTCTCCTCCAGGAAGACAGACGGAGCTGGTCGCGGTCCCGTGACTGTCACTCAGCTGACCCAGCCACGCCCCACCCAGCCCCTCCTCCTGGGTGTTCCGCAGGGCCCAGAGGCGGGGCCCGCAGCGGGGGCGGGACTTGGCGGTCGCGAGGCTCCGCCCCTGCTCTCTGGCTCCGCCCCCACGCTCGGTCTATCTTCGACCCTCCGGCGGCAGAGACCCGCGGTGCCCCGCGATGGCCGCTGCTGGGCGCCCTCGGCTCAAGATCCTCCCTGTGGGAAATGCTGGGTGAGCTGGCAGGAAGGTCTCGGGCGGGAGGGAGTGCGAAACGCAAGGCCAGCTCCCCCCCACCTCTCCCTACTCTTGAACTGAGCCTGGAGAGGGGCCCTAGTGGGCAAGGGGCGGCCTGGGCAGGGGGGCAGAGGGCGGTGACCCCAGCAAAGGCGTGGGGTGCAGGTACAGCAGGAGAGGGGACAGCTGGAAATGCCTGAACCCAGAGGCTCCTCTGACCTGTGACCCCACAAGGTGGGCAAGTCCTCTCTGATGAATCAGCTCCTCACCCACCGCTTCAGCCGTCAGTGTAGCCATTGGTACTGACTTCTTCACTCAGTGATGCAGCTGGAAGGCCAGACAGTAACTGTGCAGGTAAGAGTGGGCGTCCCAGGACTTCTCTGCCCTCAGGCCCACCAAGTTCTCCAGGCCTGTCTTCCAGCACTCAGCTCTGCTTTGTGTGGCTCTGTGACTGTCTGACCTGATCAGGTGCTCCAAGGAAGGCTGGCTGAACTGTCCTCCACTTTCCCTGCCAATGGCAGAGTTATGCGGAGGGAGTGTTCCAGGGGCCAGAACACCTGAGGCCCCTGGGCTCCCAGCATGGCTTGGGGAAGCTTGGACTTCTGGATCGGTCATCCCTTCTTCTGGAAGGATGGATTGCAGCCCAGGAGTGTAACCGGGCCTCTCTACCTCATCAGTGCAGCTCTGGGCCACGGCCGGCACGGAGAGGCTCCAGTCCCTGGGCATGGCGCTGTACTGTGGCTGCCACTGCTGTGTGCTGGTCTTTGATGTCACAGTGGCTGCCTACTTCCAGGCTATGGCTGCATGGGCGGCAGAGTTTTTGCTGCAGGCTGACCCTCCCAACCGAAAGCAATTCCCCTTTGCGATGCTTGGGAATAAGACTGACCTCCCTGGCTGGCAGGTAGGTGTACACTGTAGCTGCTCTGTGTCACCTCCACCTTAGCTTATGCTTAAGGCATCCTGGCTTTGGGCCCAGCTGGGCTTGTGTCGACCCACCCTGCTTGCACACGCCTGTCATTATTTATGGCAGATTTCCCTTCACGTCCATCCTCTCCCCTGCCTTCCTTGCACTCTGTCTGCTTCATACCTAGCCAAGGACAAACCTTGGTATGTGGAGGGTACCAAGGTTCCCATGGGTGGGCCCCTGGCCCTGGGTCCAGTGGGTGCTGTGCAGGTCTCTTCCCAGGAGGCTGAGCCCAGTATTTGGAGACCAAAGCTAAAGGCGCTCCTGGCGTGGCCCTTGAGGCCAGTGAGCAGAGATGGCATGGGGGATGGGAAGAACCCCTATAGCCCTCCCCAGGTTAAGCGGTCACAGAGCCATCTGTCACATGTCTGGCAGATCTGCACAGGCACCCCTTCTGGGGACAGACCCACATAGACCTTTCGCCCCAGCTGGCCCATGTCCTCCCACTCCTGGGGATTGGTCCTACTGCTCCAATCTGAAGGACACGTGCCCACCCCTCTCCCTGGGCCCCTGTCCCCCGTGAGGCCACTGGGCTCTGAGTCAGGTCAGAGTTCGTGAGGTAGGGAAGACAGAGCTGTGGCTCCCAGTGCCAAGATTGACAGGCCCCCATACAATACGAGACACCGTGAGCCCAGCGGAGTGAGCGCCAGGGAAAGAGGAGCTCGCCCTGGAGGCTTCCTGGGAGAGGTGAAATGGGACTGGGCCTTCCCTCTGTCCTAGATCTCGGCCCGTGAGCTGTCCTGACTGAACAGAGATGGAGGAGACAGCTTTTGGTACCCGAGTGATTGGGCAAGAGGGGGAAACGAAGCAGGGCATACCAAGGAAGTGTCTCCCCACGCCCCTTCTGTCCCTAGCACCAGCACTGGGACCAGCACACCATGGCAGCATGGTGCTGCTCCCCTCTGCCCTGTCTGGCACCGAGACCTGAGCCTGCTGAGCCCTGGCCGCAGTCCTCGGGCTGCCTCACCCCAGGCTCCCTAGGCCTCCTGGCTGGTTGGCACTATGTACTAATTCTGTCCATCTAACCCTGCCTATACCATCCACCCTTAGTGATACCACCCCTCTCCAACAGTGGGACTGTCACAGTTGGTTCAATAGAAGTTCCACTTCTCCTTTGTGAGGCCTGGCTCATGTGCAAGAGGGAGCCAGACAAGAGGGTTCTCTCCTGCAGCACCTGCACAGACCAGCCTGTGGATAACACTGATCTGTCCTGCATAGCTGACACTCCAGGGCTTTCTGGGGGCCCTGAGCTCCTGGGGGAAGAGCTCCAGCTTAGCCCTCCCCAACTGTCCAAGGAGGCTGGTGGTTGGTGACCTGCCTAGGCCTTTGCCCCAGTCCCCTGGTCGGGGAGGAGAGGAGAGGTGATCCGGTCTCTAGACAGGGAGCCCCTTGGCCTGTGCCCTGCACTGTGGGACCTTCTGTGGGTAGCCTGGCCTGGTCCCAAGGCTAGGGACCGCGATGGGAGTCTTGAAACTTGGGGGGAAATTGGGAAGCAGAATCCTACTCACAGCAGGCCCTGCGAGAGGCTCCCAAGGGGTTCAGTGAGCCCTGGGGGGCCCAGCCTCCCACCTCTGGCCTCCTCATCAGAGGGCCTGGACATAGTGAAAGACAGCAGGTGGTTATTTCAAAAAAAGTCTTTTAATTGTTCAAAATAGCACAAAACGACATCGCACTATGGTAATATTGAGTCACGGGGGTTACTCTACAATAGATGATGGGTGTACTGTTCTCAGAAACGAGAAATCAAAGGGTGCTTAAGGGAAGGGACTGGGGGCAACAATGGGACCAGGCGAATGGGCTCCAAGGTGACTAAACGGGACGTTTTCCACAGCGAAATCTACTAGAATACAACAAACCAGGGGCCCAGGGGCCACGGACTGGTGGTGGGGGGCTGCAGAGACCCCAGGCCACAGCTGTGGTTCCAGGGCAGGGGGTGGGGGCTGAAAAGACTGGCTGCTCCTTTTAAATCCTTCTGTGACCTGCTTGCAGCCTTGCTGGTTGCCTAAAGCTGGGGTGTGGTGTGGGGCAGAAAGCTGTCTCATGGGCCACTCCAAGCAGAGCCCCAAGCCCAAGTCTGGCCCTAGGAGGATGCGCCCAGCCTAGGAACAGTGCTGCAAATTCATAGACCTGGTGGCTGGTGCTCTTAGCGGCTCCCTCCCAGGCTGCTTGAGGCTGAGTACCTCCCCACCCACCTTTCCTTACAACTTTGCCTGGAGGGGGGTGGCCGCAGGAAGCAGCAGTGGAGGGTGTCAGATACTCTAAGCCAGTTATGCCCAGGAGGGGGCCTGGGGGGTGGCGGACAGCACAGTGAAGCCAGGACCAGGAGAATGGGATACAGCTGCCGCCCGCCCCCCCACCCAGTTGTCCTCAGAAACCTGACTGACTGCAGGTTCCAGCAGACTCTCAAGCTCGGTCCTATAGGTGTGGAGCAGTCACCCATGGGAGTGAGGTCTGACCGCTCATCCTCCTTTGTCCCAGAGGGCAGAGGCCAGCAAGAGGAAATCGGGCTGGGCAGCAAGCACCAGGCCCGCAGGGGAGAGTCCCCGCCTCTCCTGCCCCAGCTGCCCCCAGCTTTTCCTCCAGAAAGATCCCTGCCAAGGCTTAGCCAAGGGAAAAAAGTTAAAAAAAAAAAAAAAAAAAAAGATACACATTCTGTACACAGCTAACAACAAAAAAGGGACAAAACCCCACACACTAAGGCTAAAATTACAATAAAAATGTTAACTTCATCAATTTCAACTGAAAACAATACAACAAATGCAGCAGTTGGTGAAGTGGCCCCTACCCCGACCCGGGGGCTGAGGCCGGGCTTGTGTGTGTGTGTGGGGGGGCGCGGACCTCTAGGCCCCACTGGGAGTCGGGAGGTTTTCACAGAACACTGCTCAGGCCACCACCGGGCTCCTTCTCTCCCCCTTTCTTTTTCTTTCTTTCTTCTCTTTTTTAAAATGGGAAAGAAGAGGGAAGGAGAGAAGAGGTGGGAGTATGAAGGCCTCTGAGAGATCATGTAAGCTTCTCATAGGATTGCTGGGCAGAGACAGGGTTGGATAAGCCGAAGGGGGCCGTTAGGTGGTGCGAAATGCAAAGGTAACAAAATACAATACAGCCAGCCAGACACCCAGCTCAGGGGAGGGGGCCCACAAAGCCTCTTGCAGCAGAGGCGGGGAGGGGTTGGGGGGTGGCGCCTTTCCTTGGCTTCCATGCCTGCGCCCCCCAGCCCTTGGCTGTCCCCTCAAGCAGAGGGTGATGAACAGCAAGAGGCGAGCAGGCTTTGGAGGGGCGTGCATTCCATCCTTCTTCCTTCTGAGTTTCTAGTTCTCTCCCTTGAGGACCTCTGAATTCTCTGGGCTTGTTCAGCTCCCAGGGGAAGGTGCTGGGTGGGGGAGAGGAGGGAGGCGCATTGCTCTCACTTGCTCACTGCTCTTCCAGATCTGACTTCTACTTCCTCCCAACAGCAATGGTAAAATGTGCTTTCTTGAGATTAATTTAAAAATAGACAGGGAGAGAGAATGAATGGCAGCCAGTGGCTCGTGAGGGTGAAGTGTGAGCGCCGAGTGGGTGGGACGGGCAGGCCCTGGTGGGTGGTGTTCCTGAAGCAGAAGAGGGTCTGGAGAAGCATCCAGGTGTGGGCCAGCTGCCTCTCACTGACCGTCTGCCTTAGATTTCTTTGGAGCAGATTTCCTTGGAAGATGGAAGAAAA